TATGTAATACCCGACCCGGCGGGTACCCGCTACCCGCGTCGTCGGGTAGAAATTCGGGTAGCGGGTATCAAATACCCGCCCGGGTAACCCGGACCCGACCCGCCGGGTATTTTACAGGATTTCAAATACCCGACCCGCCCTAAAAGCGGGTCCGGGTACCGGGTACCCGACCCGGTCGGGTAGTTTGCTCAACCCTACATCCACTGCAGCAGTTACACCATTAGAATCTAGTGGATTCATTAGTACGCATAAGTCCTCCACCTCTTTACCATTTGATCCTCTTAGTGGAAAGGTTCTCAACTACATGGGGGAGTCCAAACCTATTGTGCCCTTGACAATAGTACGCAACGACCGGAGTCTTAAATCCTTAGTGAATAGCGGAGCCTCCCGTACAGTCTGCTCCGACACCACCATCAAACGTCTCAGCTTCAGCAGCAAACCTTCCCATTTTACGGCGACAATTGTGGATGGCACGAAGTTAGCGCGTGGTGCCTTAGGTTTCGAAACTGAGTTCCGTCCGTGAACGAATAAGGTAATAGGTTTCACCACTATTCGCGCATGAGTTTGCCAATCAATCGCGAATACCCCGTCCGTCCGAACAAGGTGTGGTACCCTCTGTCCGGACGGAGCGTCCGAACTTCGTCTAAACGGAAACTCGTCATTTTCGGTAAGTTTCCGTGCCCGAGTGACACGGCGAAAAATGTGAGCGGGGAACACCATTGCATTTTTCGACCAACGTTATGGCAACACTTCGTGCTGTGGGTTGGTAGGGATGGTGGTCGCAGACTTTTTTCGCCCTTGAATTTGTTGGTTTCGTGTATGTTTGATCTGTTTCGCCATTTCGGTCGGATTCAAAAATTCATTTTTTTTGTTTTTTTTTTTTTTTTTTTACATTCGGCTCGCAAGGAAGATATAAGACTTCCTTGTCCGGATAGAGGGGTGTTCGAAACTCGATGTACCGGACTTGTCTAGTTCGGACACCTGGAACTTCGGAACTCAGTTTCGGAACTGGGCTGTCCGAATCCACTACTCACAGAGCATACACGCTTTCCTATGATAACGAGAGAACAAACAGAAGTAGCTACACAACTACGCACTCGCAGTTGTCGGGTTTTTCTCCACCGTGATGGCTCCATGTCGCTTAGCCATCGACGCTGCCTCCTGCCTTCCTGCATGCCTTCTTCCCTAACCGCACTTGACCCGCCCAGCTGTACCCTTCCTGAATGCCTCTCTCGCCAACTGTCGCACCGCCTTTCTGCTTCCCAACCCCGATCTGAACACCCATCACTGTACACCCCCTTTTATCGCCATAACCATGTACACCCCTCTTTCTCCAACCCTTTTTGCTTACACCTCTCGAGTTGTCCCACGGATTTTCATAACACATTCGTTATGTCAATTCGTGCGACATACCTGCTGAAGAAGAAGCTGATCCGACCGTCAACATCACCTTGCGGAGCACCTTCACTTTTTACACCAAAATCCGATGGATCGGTGCGGATGTGCATTGACTACAGGGCGCTCAACAAGCAGACCGTCAAGAATAAATATCATATTCCAAGGATAGACGACCAACTGTCGAGGGGCCACAGTTTTTTCTAAACTGGACCTCCGGTCAGAATATTGACAAATTCGGATGGCCGATAACTCGATCCACAAAACCGCCTTTTCTGACACGCTCTGGCTCCTACGAGTATTTAGTGATGCCGTTAGAACTCACAAACGCACCCGCCACGTTCCACGTCGAGATGAATCATATTCTCCGCCCGCTACTTGACGAGTGTGTTGTGGTGTACTTGGACGATATCCTAATATACTCCAAGACGATGGACGAACACATACGTTACCTACGGCAAGTGTTTGAGATCCTTCGGAAGGAATAGTTCTACGTCAAACTCTCGTTGAATCAAATTATTTTCTTGGCACACGTCGTCAGCGCATGCGGAGTACACGTGGACCCTATCAAGATTGAAGCAGTGAAGCAGTGGAAGCAGCCAGAGAGCGTGAAGGAGCTCAGCAGTTCCTCGGCTTTGCCAACTACAATAACCGCTTTGTCCCCAACTATGCCGAGATAGCAATACCGCTCACGGAGTTACACAAAAAAGGAGTACCTTTTCAGTGGGAGGAGCCGCACGCGCAACCTGTGGAGAAGCTGAAACAAGCTCTAACTTCAGCACCAGTCTTGATCCTACCTGACCTAGATAAGGACTACGTTCTCGAAGCTGACGCCAGTGATGCAGTCGTGGGAGCAGTACTCATGCAAGTTCATAGCAAAGGGTTGCAACCTATTGCATACCTTAGAAAGAAATTGCATGGAGCACAACTGACTTACCCCGTACACGACAAAGAGGCTTTAACCATCATCCTCGCCTTTAAGAATTGACGCTACTACATGAAAGCAGCGACGACGACGATCTACACCGACCATTGCAGCCTGAAGTACCTGAAAACACAACCGACCGTGTCACGACGTCAATTTCGGTGGGTGGATTTCATAGAAACCCACTTCAACTACGACGTCGTGTACAAGCCTGGGTTGCGTAACAAGGCTGGCACACTTAGCAGACCGCCGAACCTCGCCTCCCTCCGAGTGCACGGGATGAACCATCTTCTCAAAAGCCTCTCCAAGCACGGCTACAACACTGACCTAGAAATTCCAGCAGCAGATAGGCGCAGACTCCTTCTATGGGACCAAGGCCTCGCATATAAGAAGGGTACTAAGAAGCTGTGGGTACCTAACTATGCACCCTTGAAGCAGCTACTGCTAGAAGAATATCACGACAATGCGTTAGCCGGGCAGCATCAAGACCCTAACAGGCGTCGTCAAATTTTACTACTGACCGTACATGGCGACAAACGTCCAGGAGTTCGTTACATCTTGCGACACGTGTCAGTGAATGAAAAGCAGTAAGCAGAAGAAGCTTGGCCTCCTCCAACCACTGCCCGTTCCTCAACAGCCTTGGCAGACTTCATCACAGGACTCCCGCATAGAGCAACAAGACATTATGCAATCATGGTGGTTATCGACAAATTCTCAAAGATGGGCCACTTCATCGCCACGCACGCGAATGCCACTACTGAAGAAACAACTCTGACTGATCTTCCACCGAGTCGCTTACCTCCATGGGATCCCTAAGACTCTGATTTCTCACAGAGATCCGAAGATCACTAGCAAAGTCTGGAAGGAACTCATGCGACTTCTTGGAACCCGTCTGGCGATGTCATCCGCCTACCATCCATAGACTGTTGGACAGATAGAACGACTAAACCAAATCGTGGAACAGTTGCTGAGGGTTACCTGCAAGGACGAAAAAAGCACGTGGGACCAGCAGTTACCTCTACTGGCCTACAACAACGCTACCCACTCTGCTACGGGACAGACACCGTTCTTTCTTTGGTACGGACAGCATCCCTTCACTCCACAACAGCCTCTTGTTTCTGCTCAAGTCCAACCGGCACATGCCTTCGTCACTGCCATGCATCAACTCTGGGATATTACACAAAAACGCCTCCAGAAGGTGCAAACCTTCCAGAAATGACAAGCGGATAAGAGCCGAATGGACCATCAGATACAGATTGGAGACTCTGTTCTGTTTGACACCAGGAATCTTGACCTTAGCCACATCCCTTGTAAGCTTCGGCCTCGGTTCTGTGGACCCTTCGTCGTTGAGGCACAGGTTAATCCTGTGACCTTCCGCCTTAAACTCCCGGATGAGGAACGTTCGAGGACAGCTGGGTTAAGGATGTTAGAGATAGGCTGCATTTCGGTTGGCACAATTTTGTGTGTTGACACTTTGTTGGTTTTAGGGATACTCATATTTGTTAGGTTGGGTGTAGCTATGTTTTCATCCCCAACCTATCCCAACCCAATCCATCCCAAATCCCCACGATTTGGGAGGATTCCCTTGGGATTCCCTCCGATTCTCCCTTATCCCTTCCCATCCTCTCCGATGCTCGGTACTTAAGGATGTATGCTCTTGCTCATTTCAATCAATCAAGTTCTCAGTTTCTGATAAAGGAATCCGACATAGGAAACGCTACTCGTGCTCTCCGACAGTACTTACTCAAGCAGGGCATTACAGATACCACCCAACTTTGAGGGGGGTAGTGTGAGAGCAGGATAGGTTTCCTAGGAGAAAGGACTATTCTATATTTTCTAGGACACTATTGATTACCTAGAATACTATTTTTAATCACTCGAATTATTCTATCCAGAGTGGCTATTTGGATTATTCTCGGTTATCATAAGTGTGTGTTATCTAGATTAGCTGTTGCGTGCACCGAGTGTTCACCAAATTTCGGCGAATCTTCTAGAGCTTCTAGAACAGTTGCTTCTAGAGGGAAACGGTTCCTTTTTGGAACATTCACGTTTTAGCTAGACTCGCGCCTCGCTCGGAGCACCTCGCGAGTGCTTGCCTGTAAATTGTGTTGTTCCTCCGGATTGTCATTCAACATTCATTCTTTAGTTACATCCTCTCTCGCACTAAGCATAGCGCATTCGATCCTGTGACATGCACTGTCCGATGAAAATCGGTCGTCCATATTGATGTTCAAAACCTCTCGCGAGCCAACCTTCCCCAAACCTGATTTTTGGTTTGGGAGTTTTGTCCGCGTCACCTGTGTTTCGTTTTCGTCTTTCTTTTTTCACACTTCGCCTACCAATCAGAGTCTGCCTGCTCCAACCAAGTGTAAAACTCTAGTAATTATGAGATGGGGGCTTTAACGTGTAGGGCAATATCCCCAAAACATTGTCTCCACGAACCTAAGAAATATGAGATTGAAACACCCAAGGCGCGTCAAGGGGCCTACAGTGGAGAGTACTTCTTGCGAGGCGAGGGGCATGGTGAAGAGGACAAGATGCAGCTGGACAAGGAGCATGCACACTCGCAGTGCGGTGCAAAGGCAAACAATGCGGTGCAGTGGCTCACAACGTGTCGCAGCACAGAGGCCTGTGGACCTGTGGATGCACAGTCTGTAGTGTAGTGCCGGCAATGACTTACAATGGGGTAGATGAATCCGTAGGGAAGCCCCTGCGGGTTGAACCGCAACTTCACTCCGAAGCTGCTGTTGTCCAGCTGGCTCATGTTGGCGCTCGCAGCACTGTCGAAGATGCGCGACGTGGGCAGGAAGTGCGGGTTCACTCCAAACGGCTCCTTGGACGTGCCGTTGCTGCACCACCCGGCCAGGTGCATCAGACTGGCACGAGGGGAGGAGGGGGGCGGAGACAGGGGGGGAGATGAAGGGTGTTGCTCTTTGAATGCGAAGGGGAGGGAGACTGAGCGTAATGACTTCAAGCAAGGATCGCGAAACCCCCTGGACCAAAAACCTTAACCCTGGTCTCCAGCCAAAACGCCCCCCAAATCAAAAACTTTGTTTTTGATCTCCGGGGTTTCGAATCCTCACTTAAAGAGGCGAATGGCAAATGACGCATGAAACATGATACATGACAAATGACGCATGAAACATGACACATGGCACATGGCACGTGAAACATGGCACATGACACATGGCACATCACACATGACACATGGCACGTGACACATGGCACATCACACATGACACATGGCACGTGACACATGGCACATGACACATGCCACATGCCACATGGCACATGGCATATGCCACATGCCATATGACACATGGCACATGACACATGGCACATGACACGTGACACATGGCACATGGCACATGGCACATGACACGTGACACATGGCACGTGACACATGACACATGACACATGGCACATGACACATGACACATGGCACATGCCATATGCCACATGACACATGGCATATGACACATGTCATATGACATGTGACACATGGTACGACGTGACACATGGCACATGACACATGGCTCATGACACATGGCACATGACACATGGCTCATGACACATGGCAAATGACACATGGCACATGACACATGGTACATGACCCATGACACATGGCACATGACAGATGGCATATATGGTGCTGGCCTCCCAACAGCAACGAGAGCAGTGCAAACAACATTGACATCCATACACTACTCGAACGACACAACCAGCAGAGCACAACCAGCACAGCACAATCGGAACGCCGCGACTCAGGACTAGCACTAAGCGATGACTCAATGGAAAGCACCACCAAGCCACGACTCACCCCTGTCCGCTGCACTCTTGCGTGCCCCATCTGTCCTGCTGCAGCACCATTCCTATCAGCAAACTGCCCCACACAAGGTGGAAGGGGGGAAAGCGGGTGGGGGTGTTAGAGATAGGCTCCATCCAATATTTGTGTTTGACTTATGCTAGTTCAAGTGCAGGTTTGTTTCTGTGGGATTGGTGTCTCACAGAATCCCAATCTCACCCAAATGCGATCACCCAAGATCTCCAAAACACCTGATCAATCATTTCAGGTCACTTTCTTACGTATGGTACTGAATGGGTGAGGTACATGTGAGGTACGTGTGAGGTACATGTGAGGTACATGTGAGGTACATGTGAGGAACATGTGAGGAACATGTGAGGAACATGTGAGGTACATGTGAGGTACATGTGAGGTACATGTGAGGTACATGTGAGGTACATGTGAGGTACATGCGAGGTACATGCGAGGTACATGGGAGGTACATGTGAGGTTCATGTGAGGAACATGTGAGGTACATGTGAGGAACATGTGAGGAACATGTGAGGTACATGTGAGGTACATGTGAGGTACATGTGAGGTACATGTGAGGTACATGTGAGGTACATGTGAGGTACATGTGAGGTACATGTGCCCTACCGGTTTCGTTGCGAGACGAAGCGGTTCACAGCGGTGCCCCTCTCAGCAGCGAAGGCATGGTTGGTTTCAGTGTAGTTGGCGCCGTAGCGTTGCAGCGAGAAGGGGAAGTTGAGGTTGACCCCCACCGCCGTGGACACACAGCACGCTGCATGGGCGGTGAGGGGCGAGGAGAGCGAGAGAGAGAAAGAGAGAGTGAGTGAGGTTTAGTTGTACTCAGGATTCATCGATGAGCATGGCCACTTGAGTTAGAAAGAGCGAGCGAGAGAGAGGATATGGTGAGAGGAAGATGCAGTGACTGACCTGGCCCATTCTAGCGAGGAAGGGAAAGACGACAGACGAGGAGAAGAGAACGGAAGAGAAGCCACATGAGAAGGTGAAGAAGATACAAGGGTGCGGGAGGAGGAAGAGCTATGGGCAGCAATGAAGGAACAAGGCAGGAGCTATTGAGCAGGCAAAGAGGGGGAAATATGGCAGAAAAGTTCGTTATGAGGGGTGATGATGGAAGGCCATGGGTGGATGCTGAGAGGGCAATGACTGACTCACAGCCGTCGTCGCGGCGTGTGTGGGCGGGTGGGCAAGAGCAGATGCCGGGGCCAAAGAGCGGGTCGACACACGCGCAGTCGCCGCCGTCGAAGGCACAGCTGGGTGTGTTGCACGCCGCATTGCACACCCCGTTGGCCAGCCGCTGCAGCTGGCAACCAGGGGCACAGAAGTAGACAGCAGACGGGGAGGAGGAGGGGGAGGAGGAAGGGGAGGTGGTGGTGGTGGTGGGGGTGGTGGTGGGAAAAGGCGTGGTACTAGAGATGGTTGTTGTGGCACGCCCTGCCATGCATGCACGCAGAGGAATAGTGTGGGAAACGAAAGGGGGGGAAGGAAGGAGAGAGGCGGGGAAAGGGATGAAAAGATGGGAAGAGATGGGAAGAGGATGCAGCAAGGCTGAGTGAGAGGAAGACACAGAGTGAACGCATGGGAGGAAAACACAGAGGCACCTAGAGGCACTCAGAGAGGCACTAAAGGAGCACTCTGAGGTGGGTTCTGCAGAGCACGCATGATGAAGGATGCAGTCGATGATGCACCCACCAACGCAGCTGCACATGCAGTGCAGTGCTCTCACCAGCAGCATCGGATCCTGTCCTTGCAGGCAGCACCGTGAGAACACAGGCGGAGGAGGCAGAGGAGGAAAAGGAGGCGGAAGAGGAGGAGTCAGAGGAGGTAGAGAGGGAGTGCAGAGCTCCTCCTGGCATGGCGCCATCGTCATAGTAGACGGTGGCAGGGCGCTCAAACACCCTGCTGTAGGAGAATGAGTCAGAGGGCTCGTCGTCCATTCCTGGTGGTGGTGTGGTGGTGGGGGGAGAATAGGGTCTGAGGGTGGTGCAGTGAGCATCGCACCAGAGTAAGTCAGAGCAGAGCAGGCATGGCAGCAGGGAAGGCGTGGCTTAGAATGGTACGGACATGTTGACAGCATCGCATGGAGTAGTAACAAGTGCATTCCACAAGTTGACACACCACGCTAAGCCACACCACGCCAAGCCACATCACACCCAGCCACACCACGCCCCACCACTCACTGAGCACGCATGGCAGCGGGTCGTCCCTGGCGTCCCCCGCGCCGGCATTCATGGGAGAGCAAGCCAGCTGCCGCGACACCGCCAGGCGGTGCCCTCCAAAGCCCAGGAACAGCGGGTCGCCCGCCTCGCCCATCCCCGCCACTGGGGGAAAGAGACGGGGGGGGGGGGGGGGGGGGTGTTTGCAGTGTGTGGCAAGGGGGTTGTGAGGCGCAAGGCAGTGTGGGTGGGCGATGAATGCAAAGCAGTGCTCGCCTCGCCTGTCCATGCCACGGCGGCGGCGGCGACGGCAATGGCGGTGGTGGTGGTGGCACGACAAAAACACAGCAAACGGGTATGCAAATGCACGAGACACTGGAGCAAGAGGTAGAGCTGTGGAAAGAAAGGCGTACCTCTGAGCGAGTGCGGGAGGTCGTCATCCCACACCCATGTGACCTTGTCCCCTGCATGGATGGTCGTGTTGTGCTTCACACCCGCCCGCCACGGCAGCCACGCTCCTCCTGGAAAGACAGCGGATGGGGGAATGCTCAGATCAGACCCTACCTCAGCGAGCGCAGGATCCACACATGCACATGGAAATGCACATGCACAAGCACGCAATAGAATTGCACTACCATGGCCAGCACCGCATCCCAATGGTCACCTTGCGAGCAGCCAACGGCGTCGGACGTGACGATGGCATCGTCGAAGCCGTGCAGCAGCGTGCTCACCCGCACAGCGGTCGCGTCGTCCATGGGCGTCGCGGACCGCAGCGCCGCCACCACGGTCTGCACGAAGCGCCGCATGTGCTGCGAGGAGATCACCCGCCCGCCCCGCACGTGCGTGCGCTGCAGGTACGCGAACATCTCCCCCGGCGCCGCAATCAGCTGCCCCGTCTCGTTGGTGAAGCGGCACTCCTCCATGGTGGCGCCCGGCCCCCCCAGCACCGTGCACACGCACGCCACTATGCGCGCCCGCACGCTGCCCCCCCCACCTTCCAGGTGCTTTGCCTCACGCCCCGGCGTCCGGCCCGCCAGGCACCTGTCCTTGGCCATTGTGAAGAGCGCCCGCGATACCGCCACCTGCAGCGCTGTCATTCGCTGGCGGTCCGTGGCGCCCAGGAGCGACCAGAGGGACGCGGGAGACGGGCTGGCTGCTGCTGCTCCAACTGCTGCTGCCAGTGATGCTGCTGCTGCTGCTGCTCCCGGTGCTCCCTGCACTTGCAGTGCTGGTTCAGTGGCAGCATCGGCAGAGGCAGCAGCAGCAGCACCCCCTGCTGCTCCCACGAGAAGGGAGGTGGCGGCAGAAGAAGCAGGAGGGGAAGAGAGGGCTGCAGAGGCGGGCCAATAGCCGTAGGCGCGTGGCCGGGTCAAGCGATGCAACGCCTGGACCAGCTGGGACGATGGGTGATGGCCCAGAGGGAAGGAGAGAGCAGCGGTGAGAGGCGATGGAGAGGTGCAAGGCGGGATGACACGACAGAGCATTCAGAGTACAGCTGCAGGTAACGGAATGTGCGCGAGCTAAGGAGTAGCAGGCAAGAGGAGCAGGCAAAAGGAGGAGGCAAAAGGAGGAGGCAAAAGGACCAGGCAAAAGGAGCAGGCAAGAGGGGCAGGCAAGAGGGGCAGGAATGAAGAACACAATGGAGCGCAAGCAAGAGGAAAAGGAAGCACCTCGCGGTGGTTGAAGCGAGAAGTGCCAGCCGTTGAGTTCGAGGCTGGTGCTTGGGAACGAGGCGGGTGGGATGCAGGGAGTGGTTTGTTGTAGTGCCACAAAGCGGAGGGAGAGGGGAGGGAGAGAGGGTAGGAAGAGAGGAGGGTGAGGGGAGGGAGAAGGGAGGGAGAGAGGGGAGGACGAGGGGAGGGAGAGAGGGGAGGAAGAGGGGATGGAGAGGGGAGGGAAAGGGGAGGGAGATGGGAGGGAGATGGGAGGGAGAGGTGAGGGGGAAGGGAGAGGGGGAGGGGAGGGAGAGGGGAGGGAGAGGGGAGGGAGAGGGGAGGGGGAGGGGAGTGGGGGACGGGTGGACCTTAGAGACAGCATGTGAGGGGCATCAGGTCATGGTGGAGCAATACAGAGGCACCAGTGCCTGCCACTCACACATGGCTAAAAGGTGGCACACGCTATGAGGCCGGCAAGGGGCATGCGGGGTGATGGGGGGTGCAGGGCAAGTGATAATTAACGGACGACACAAGGTGAAGTGATATAAGGCACGGGGAGACATTGACGCACATGCCGTAGGCATGGCGAGAGAGAGTGGGTACCTGAAGTGTTGCACTGAGTATTGGGGAATAATGACCCCATGTCTGCCTGTAGTGTAGGCTCGTGGGGAAGGGAGGAAAGAATCAACACAAGAACGTAGGAAAAAAGAGCCTCATGTGAGAATGGTAGCAAACTGAGGGACAGAGAGGGGATCAAGTTGAGTTATTGGAGAATCAAAGCTCAAGGGATATGCAAGCACGACTAAGGAGTGAGGGAGGGAGAGAGGAAAGCGAAGGTGGGTGGTCAATCCAGAAAGCAGGATGTGTTCAGTGCACAGATGTGCGGCTGCTGCAGCATACACAAAACGCACAAGGGCTCAACTCAAGACTAGCAAGCCAACAATGAGCGAGAGTTGTTCGGATTGATTACACTGGAAGGAGGTGCGGGAAGAGAGGTGTCTCACAGTGGGGCAAGGAGAGGCGGCATAGAGAGTGATGGTGGTGGGCGACACAATGCACATGCGCGCACAGTCCACGAACGCCCCTGCCACCTCCCTCTCCGTGAATGCGCGGTGGCACGCTGCTGGCAGGCACGTGACGACTAGCCCAACACATGTCTACACGCACGTATGCATGGGGTTGCGTGGGGTTGCATGGTTTCGCATGGGAGTGGGTTTGGCTGGAGACATAAGCACACGTGTGAATCGGGTACATGGAGAGAAGATTTAATGCACGTCGCGTACGATCATGTGTTAGCTCGTATGGGTACATCTAACAGGTTTTCGTACTGGCTCATATAGAGGTATCTAATAGCTCATATAAGAACATCTAGAAGGTAATATAGGAACACCTACTGGCTCATATAGAAACATCTAATAGATCATAAAAGAACATCTAGTGACTCATATAGGAACATATAAGAAGGTAGTTATTCTGGAGCATGTACTGACTCATAGAGAAACATCTACTAGTTCATAAAGATAAAGGAACTGGTAGATTAAGCACTTGCACACTCACATCACGACAGGCATCAGGGGCAGCAGCAGCATCAGAGCCACTCAGCCCCGTCTGATTGGCTGCGTCCACGTCATCATCGTGCGTGCAGTGCCCCCACGACGCCAGCTCTACCGTGCTCGCGGACCCGATGGTGGAGAAGCGCCGCGTGCCGGGCGGGGGGGCGTGCAGCGTGCCTCGTATGCCCCCAGCGGGCGCGTTGAGCACCACCACCCAGTCGCCGTCCGGAATGTCCATCGGCACCGAGAAGTCCGCCTCGCCCAGAGGGAACGGCTGCATGGCGTCGTACCTTGGGGGGGAGGGGGGAGATTGGGGATGGGGATGGGGATGGGGATGGGGACAGGGATGGGGACGGGGATGGGGACGGGGATGGATGGGGAGGAATGCAAGGGAACGCTATAAGGGAAGGGGAGCTGAGCAGAAAGGGAGGAGGAGGGTGTGTGCAACAACGAACTATGCTTTTGTGAATAGGGAAGGACTGGAAAGTGGAGATGGATGCGAAGGAGGTGGAGAAGGATGAGAAGGATGAGAAGGAGGTGGAGAAGGATGAGAAGGAGGTGGAGAAGGATGAGAAGGAGGTGGAGGAGCGAGCATCACCAGCAGAGGGACACGGGGTTGACCATGCAGAGGTTCCAGGAGGATGCCTGGTCGGCGTGCTGGGAGTCAAGCTCCGAGGAGAAGCTCACGACCACGGAGGTCAGGTTGGGGAACGTGCCGCAGTCCGCCTTGCACCCAAATCGCCCAAACGCCGGGAACTGGAAGGGGCGCTGGCACGTGCCATCGCCACACGTGAAATCCGCCCACAGAGTCTGCGGGGGATACGTGGGGAGAGCGCGAGCAGCGGGGGACACGGGGAATGGAATCTGACGTGGCTCAGACTACAGGCGGAGGAGGCCGGTCAGGGGATCTGAAAGAAATGGCGGGAGGGCAGTATTAGGTGCCTCGACCGCAGGGCGGCTCGGGGAGGAGGAGCTAGGAGAAGGGACTATGAGATGTTAGAGGAGTCATGATGGTGCCTCCTCTAACTACAACTGCAGTGCTGACTACATCTGCTGACTAAAACTGCAGTGCGGTCAGCAACAGAGGGAGCAATGGAGAGGATGGGCGGACAGGTGCGCGTCACCTGTATGATGGAGGTGTTGAGCCACTGGTAGAAGTCAGCGGCGCCAGTGAAGGTGCTGGACGAGTCCTGGCTCATGCCCTGTGGCACGCACGCAGGGGAGGGGGACAGACGGGTGGGTAGAAAGGGCACGGAAGAGAGGGGCGAGTGAAGGCGAAGAAGAGGAGCCCATGGTGCCTGATGACTTGGGCAAGGAGATAGTCCTTGCGAGCGTGTGAGCGTGCCGTGCTGGCGCACGCACCCTTGCGAGGGAGAGGCAGGGAGAGAGGAGGGCGGAGAGAGAAGGGAATCGACGATCTTACGGGGGTTGGTAGAGCACGGAGTGGGGGAGCCTCACAGGCGGGTAGAGCAGGGAGTGGGCGGCGGTGATCTGGTAGCTTCTGGAGGAGTCGGCCTGCAGGTAGAGGATGGCGATGAAGAGCGCCATGAGCACTCCGAAGCCGCCCAGGTCGCGGTAGTGCTGCACGCGCCGCTCCAACGCCACCACGCGCTGAAACGCCTCTGGGGAGGGGTGCGGTTGTAGGAGTCGGGGGGGGGGGGGGGGGAAGGAGCACAGGGATAGAGCGTGTAAGAGGCGACGGTTGTGTGTGTTATATGACTGTGATGGCCGTGTGGAAGGCTTCCAGGCCGTGGTGCCGATCAAAGGCGCACAGACTGAAGAAAGGCTCTGGGGGGCGGGAGGGAGGGAGGGAGGGACAAGGGAAGAGGAGAGGGGAGAGGAAAGGGGAGAGGAGAGGGGAGAGTAGAAGCGAGAGGAGAGGGGAAAGGAGAGGGGAGAGGAGAGGGGAAAGGAGAGCGGAGAGGATAGCGGAGGGGAGAGAGGGGAGGGGAGATGGGAGAGAGAGAGGGGAGGGGAGAGGAGAGGAGAAAGGGGAGGGGAGAGGGGAGAGGAGAGAGGGAAGAGGAGAGGAGAGAGGGGATAGGAGAGGGAAAGTGAGAGGGGAGAGGAAAGAGGAGAGGGAAGAGGGAAGAGGAGTGGGGAGAGGGAAAAGGAGAGGGGAGAGGGGAGATGTTAGAGAAAAAAGGAGAGGGGTGATGGAAGAGGAGAAGGGAGAGGGAAGAGGAGCGGGGGGAGGAGAGGAGCGGGAATAGGGAGGGGAGAAGAGACATGAGAGGGGAGAGATGAGAAGAGAGGAGAGGGGAGAGCGGAGAAGAGAGGGTAGATGTTAGAAGAGAGGGGAGGGGAAGTGAAGATAGAAAGGAGGAAGAGGAGAAGCATGGGATACAGGGGCGACAGGGAGGGAGATGCCACGCTAAACTGAAAAAACAAGCCCACTCGAATTCTCCGTCCCTCTTAGCACCGCTCTGAACCTGGACGCACCTTGCAGCACCTCGCGGTCCATCTCATCCATCTCCGCCTCATGCAGCCCGCCACTCTCCATGCGAGGGAAACCCGCACCGCTCCTCTCCATGTCGTCCGTCAAGCTGCGCATTAGGGGAGCGCCAACGCCGTCCTCCGATTTCCCCCTCCCCATGGCCTTTCCCCCAGCCCCCCCGTACCCTCCCCCGTGCCCATCCCCTCCTCTCTCCGCGCCATTCGACCCGCTGTCCCCTTCCTTGCTCCTTCTTTTCTCCCTGCTGCCGCCCTTCCCGCCAGAATCATCCCCGTCGCCGCGCTGCTGCTCTCCCTGCCACGACGGCAAGCAGCTTCTCCGCGAGCTTCCGGGCCGACATGCACCCAAACCCCTGCCGTCGTCTGCACTGCTTTCACTGCCTCCGCTACTGCTGGCCCCTGCGCGCTCGTTCCCCGAACCCTCACGGCGCGAAGCTCCCCCCTCTCCGCCGCCCCCTCCGCCAGCTCCCCCTGCCCATGCCTCCCCCCGCTCTGCATCGTAGAGCGCAAACTCTGCCCCCCCATTGGCGGAGTCAGACGGGACCACCGGTTTCCGCGCGCCACGTGGCACGAACTCCGCATAGACCGGGACAAGGCTGCCGTCGGGAGTGTCGAGGAGATCCAAGTCGCGCGTCGTGCTGCTCGGCGCGTGAAAGGTCGCGCCGTGCGACGCGGACAAAGAAAGGGCGCGCAATTGGGGAACCAGATTGCAACGCGGCCTTTCTTTCAAAGCAAACGACTGCTAATACTGCTGACTAGCACTCAGAATTACGAATTTGTCGAGATTTCCCTCTTCCAAGAACGACAGACTAGGGGTGTGACGGCTCACCTGGGCGCACCGTCGGACGTGGATCGGAAAATCATGAGGTTGGCTCGTTCGTACGCGTCGAACTTCTCCTCCAGCAAACTCGTCGACCGCGGAAACGACGACTCCGCCTCGCCGCGCGCCTCCGCCGCCTGCTTCTTCGCGCGCACCACCGCGACCGCCTCCGCCATGACGATAGGCGCTAGTTAATTGGTACTGACACGGAGTACGCTTGGCAGGGGGTAATGAAGGGGCATATTGTTGTGGACTAACGATTATTCAACCCGCTTGTTTCTAAGCGATGGACTACTGGGCTTAGGACGTGGATCCTACGGTTGCGAGAAGCTCCGGTACCCGGTAGGTTGGACTTTAAGGACTTATTCGCGTGTTACTTCATTCATTGTTTGGAAAATCCTGTTGGGAGTTACAGAATGGAGGAATGATGATGATGCCAGGGTGATGACGATTTTCAAGAGTCTGATGGTGCAGTCGAAAGGCGGCCAATTTGAAATGGTGCCCCTTTTAGTGAATTCGGTGCAGAGCAGGTTGCAAGTGCAGGTTTGCATCTTGGTGGGGGCACGTGAACAATTCACACGGCTCGGGATTCTCGGAGTTGTCGCCCTGCGTTTCCTTGGGTTTTCGCAACCACAACTCACAAACTAGCTTGGGTTTCCAGACCGAAGAGAAATTCCGACGTGAATTATTCATGAAATAATTCATGAAAGCCTCGTACCCGCTCCACTGTACAGCACCAACTCCGAGAAAGAATTCGAGGCCACAAGACAAGTGCCAGGAATATTAGGCAGAGCCAGAAACGGTCAGGGAGGCAAACATTTCCTTGTCGCCCAGAGTTTCTCGTACATAGGATGTCGTGGCGAATACAGGTCATATGCCATCAGTGCATCGACAACTAGAGCAAGTATTTCACAGGGGCATTTATTCCCTACAAACAAACTCGACATACGCAGGGATTCATATAACCATCCAATCTGAGAGGGTACACTTCCGTGCGTCATTCATGCATGCGCCCAAAAATAACCATTCCACGATCTAATGACCCCCGCGGAGAGGTCGACGACGCCGCCGATCGCACCTATGCGTCGGGCACCAACCATCAATCTTGTGATGATCCACCTAATCACAAACTGACCCTGGTGCAGCAGAATAGCGAATCCGACAGCGCCAAGTGCGACGACGGAATCCGTCATGAAGACGAGACGTAATCTGTCGTCACCGACCAATCACAACAAGCCACAGAGAGAACCGACAGCCGCGACGTGAGACTAGCGGTGACGGATTAGCCCATTGTCGGGTGTATTTAGACACGCCCTTTTCATAGCTGCAGAGTGCGCCGGACAACGTCCAAATGGGCCCATACGGCGGATTGCATTCACTGTGGCGCAGAAAATCACTATTTGCGAGTACTCGACCAAGCATTCAACGCTGCGCCACTCTAACATTGCACAGTGGTGCTGTACAAGATACGGCTGGGCCGAACTCGAGCACAATCTCCAGGATTATCAAAGACGAAGCGCGCTAGAAGGCACCCGGGACAGAGAGCACAAAGCACACAAGGCAAAAAAACGGCTTTTGGCCAGTGCTATAGGACCGGCTCAGAACCTGGCTGCGAGGCGTCAACGGCGCTGGCTTGCCACTCACCATCCCACCCACCATCGCGTTAATCTAGGAGCGTGCTCTCGTCCTTGCACCCGAGTGCAACGAGCACAAGGACTTCAAAGCTAGTGTTGGATGGGTGCAGAAGGCCCTTAGGCACATGGGCTTCAAGTGGCGCAAAATGGCTGGCGAGGCGAAATCCACGGACGCGCGCGCGGCCCTGTTCGCCACATTGCTCTTCCCCAGGTTTTGTGAAGCGCTCAACCTCCGGCCCGAATAGCTACTGTATTCAACTTCGACGAAACGTGTGTGTACTGGGCGATGCTCCCAGACCACACATTCAGCGATGAAGCGACGCCATGAAAGAAAACCGCGAAGGAGAGACTCACCGTCGCTTTCCTCATGAACGCTGAAGGGTCGAAGGTGTTCAAGCCCTCATCATCCATCGCTACGAGCGGCCACGGTGCTTCGCACGCGAGAAATTCAACCCCGCTAGATATTGCGCGTGGTGGGCGAATACGAAAGGCTGGATGATCGCCGATGTGAGTCGCGCGTCTTCACGCATTCGCCACCATAATGTCCGGTGTATTTATGTGGACCTCTCTCATTGCCTCTCTGTCTGCCCTTGTAAATCCGCGTGCAGGTCTTCATCGCGTACTCTGAGCATGTCAATGCGTGCTGCATGGTGGAAGGTCGACACATTGTCGTTATAGTGGACAACGCGTCTAGCCATGTTCCGAAGTCGCCTCACGCGACGACCGCCAACATCTGCAGCTTTCGGACCCGAGCGCTCTCGTATATCCGCCTCGTCTACCTGCCGCCAAACACGACGCCATTCACCCACCCGCTGGATCAGGGTATCATGGCGGCACTCAAGGCAAAGTACAAGACCCAGCTCCTGTGGGTCGTCCTGCTCGAATGGAGCAAGCCGGGCATGACAGTCAAGCAGCTTCTGGAATTCAAGCCCAAGATAACTCGAGTCATCGAGTTCATCTCGGACGCGACGATTGGCATTGACACAAGCACAATTCAGAAGTGCTTCTGGTGCACTCACATGTTGCCGCCCAGCTGGAAGCCGCTCTTGACGCTCTTCGCCGGTCCCCCATTCGAGGACGTGCACCTGCTCGACCGGGAGTTCCGTGACGTGCAGGACGCCATGGACGAGCTGCCATTCGGTCCGCCTGGCGAAGTCGATGCTACCATCCAGTTCGTCTACGCAGACCATAAGGTGGCGACCGACGAGGCGGGCGCCGAAGACCCGGTAGAACTGGAGCTCACGGGGACGCCAGTGCGAGACGCATGGTGGTCTAACGCAGCGCCCCCCTCCAACCCCGACACGTCCATGCGTGATATGCACGGCATGGCACGCGATACGCGCGTGGCCTCGCTCTTGCTCTGCGGGACCTTCACATTCTCTTCAATATCCGTGACCCCCTCATTTGCGATAGCCTGGAGCGCGCATCTCCCCGCCTCGACGTCGGCGCTACCCCGACTGACTTGGACAATGCGTACCGCGCTCAGGTTCTGCGTGCCACCGCGGTGATGACCGGGTACCTAGACGCCGGCGAGTGGATGACATTTGGGGGCACTCACACGCCATGGCACCCCCCTCCTAGCACGTGAGTGGCGCTTGTCTATTTCTCGGCGTTGAACACTGAGTGTGGGCAACTGTGTGTGCAACATGTGGGCTTGGGAGTAGCACGGATGTTTGGGTGACGTAAGTTGTAGATCAAGCACATCAAGCTGCGGTACTTCCTCTTGCACGAACTACAGCAGTGTCGCTAGGCCCGCGTAGTTCACTTGACCTCCGGTGTCAACACAGCTAATATCTTTACGAAGGCGCTTTTGCCTAAAGATCATCAGCGGCACTGTGTACAGCTTGGTCTAGTTCTTGTAGCTTCTCACTTGGTAGGACCTTGATTGTGTGCTATATCATATATTGTATTGACTGGCCTTATGGCTCCTGTTCTAGTGGCTGGACTAGGAGTGCCGCACTGGGTTGCTCTTGTTTCCTTTGTACTCTTGCAGACTGATCTTCAGACTCTTGCCTCAGAGGTTGGACTAGTAGTGCCACACTAAGCTGTGTATCTTGTGCTAGCCATTGCCCCTTATCTAGCCTAGGTGGTGTGCCAATATATACAGTGGCGGAAAAAATTGCCCGGATGTTTAGCACTTTGAAACATATCGCTATGCAACACTAGTTTCGAAAATAGTAACACCAGTTTTTTCTCGCCCTGTTACAAGGTTTTCGAGTTCTGCTTCAACCGTTTCTTGCTTGGCCGAATGTGACACAACCGGAAAGCGGGGTTGAGATTTACTCCTCGACTGTCGATGCGGACAGTTCATACTGAGCGACAGACTATATCTATTTTCGCCCGTCACTCGGTGTGCACATCGTCACACGCAACAGCTGCTAGTCTAGGAGTTAGTCCTGAAGCGAACCTACGACCGCATCGCCATGAAGCCGGTAGAGGACAAGAAGCGCGCGCGAATCCTTAACATGTTGCGCAAAGGGCATTCGACTAGGAAAATAGCCAAAGTTCTTGGCATAGGCAAGAGCACCGTGCACGATTACGATTTGAAGGTGATTGCCGAGACTAGTTTTGAGGAGGTGCGACCCACGATGCCCATGGCCGGCCGCCCCCGCGTAATCTCAACCCGACTTCAGCGCGGAATAGTTCGAGCGATTACAAGCGGCGAGGCGAAAAGCAGTGTAGACGCCGCAAAGATGTTGCAGGAGAAGCGCGGTCTCGCTGTAGACTCAAAGACAGTCAGAAACTCGTTACGATCCGCGGGCTTGATTGCCGTGCAGCAGCCCAAGAAACCCAGGCTCTCACCGAAAAGCATACATGATCGTCTCGATTTCGCGAGGTCGCATGCCGATTGGACGCTGGAGGACTGGAAGCGGGTGATTTGGTCTGATGAGACTAAGATAAACCGTTACTGCTCCGACGGACGTGCGTACGCCTGGATTCGCGAGGGCACCAGCCTCCAGAGCCATCAAGTCCAACAGACAGTTAAGCATGGGGGCGGTTCTGTGCAAGATAGACGGCAGGATGGATGGGCCGTTCTATCGCAGCATCTTGCAAGATGAGCTCAAACAGACCATCGATTTTTTCAAGCTTTCCCCCTCAGAGGTCATTTTCCAGCACGACAATGATCCCAAGCATAGGTCCTGTCTGGTCCAAGACTGGCTTGGGAAGCAGGAGTACGCGGTGCTGGAATGGCCCTCGTCCTCCCCGGACCTTAACCCGATAGAGCACCTGCGGGCATACTTGAAAAGGCAGCTGGCGGCGTACGAAAAATCACCTCGTGGAATGCTGGAGCTGTAGGAGAGGGTGCAGGAGGAATGGGACAAGATACTGGCGGAGGTGTGTTCAAACCTCATCGACAGTATGCCGAGGAGGATCAAGGCAGTGATTCGCGGAAAGGGACGCTGGACTAGGTACTAGTTTTTCAAGAATCTAGTTTGCTCCCTGTTCTCGGTACAAATTGTCCGGATGTGCTCTTATGATATGCTTAGGTGTTTAAGGACCATGTGTGATATTACTCTGGTGTTAGTCGACTTGAATGAGTGCTCTAAATGATCTCCACTTGTATGTACTCCATAAATTAAGGCTTAATGTTCACGCTGCTGCACTCATCAAAATGCAAAAAAAGACTGAACATGTGGACAATTTTTTCCGCCACTGTATTTGTATATGTTATAGGCTAGATATGTGCATGCTCATAGAGAGTACAAATCTTATGTCAAAACCCCCTTGTATCACTCATTCTAGTCATTCGCTAACTATGAGGGGCACTTCATGTTTTGTGCTAGCGTAGCCA